TAACAGACATAACGATTGAATCACTTTCTTGTTTGCATCAGCAAATTAAATTTGAAAACAATTAAGAATTAGTTTTGAGAGGCTATCTTTAAATGAAAACTATAAAAGTAAGGAAACACAACATGAAATTATAGATTACAATATAATTATACATTAAAATAAAGTTTTTTGATTAAGTTTTTAAATAAGTACCTTTGAGCTTTGCACCAATGGTGGGCACTGAACTGTTTTTACAGTAGATTGAAAAAATTACGTTATTCTCTACTGAATTTTCACCCCGTTGCGAAGCACAGGGGTGGCAACTAGTTTTATTTAACTATTTCAATTTATAGGTTATCAATTGCACTAACTCTCCTTAGACTATGCTCAAATAGGACTCAATATTTTATAAAATTGACACCATCATACAAAATTGAGATTCAGTGTCATTAAATGGCCAATTTCGGAAAACTTACTCCTGCCACTCCCACCCACCCCTATCACTCACTGAAGGACATTGAGACTGCCAATAATTTGTATATCTCAAGCCCAAACTAGAAATCAAAATGTTATACATCATTGCAATCGTTTATTATTACAGTCACTTAATTATAGTTCTTTAATCACTGACCAAACTTGTTTGCAACATGTAGGACTACCACAATACAAGTCTTCGTTTTCCTAGGTGCGAGAGGCAATATTTGCTCACAATTTTATAACGTGTATTTCTATATCATAGCAGCAACAAATAATTTCAGCCATCTAGCTGAAGCATGATATTCATGTTATGAATCAGCTAATATGTTAAAATAAAATTTAAATTGTTTATTTTCAGTACACAACTAAATTATTACTATTGATGTTGTCGATACGTGGCTTGTTGTAAATCTCAATAAAGTATTTTGTATCTAACTAAACCTGAACCGCAGTATCCCAACGCTCAATTTGGATCTGACTGTAATAAATGCAATTTAGATATCTCAATATCCACATTTACCTCTTGTGTTTCAACTAACATATGTCATAAACAACATGTAGTAACACTCAGATGAAATCAAATAAATCCACGAACATGTACACAAATCAATAAATATTAAAGGTATTGATATAGTGGAGACAGTTTGTGACAATGAGAGTGTGCTATGTTTTGTGTTTAAAGCACTAGCCTAATCATTGTCCAATGCAGTTGATTAGCAATCGATGACGTCATCCAACTGTGGCGAACCTCAGACTTGACGCTCCCATGTGTCTTTAGACAATCCATAGCCTACACTCCGCGTACATCTTATGTCGCGAAGGAAGGTTACAGTAGCTATGTCCCAGTTTTAAACTTACAAACCTTGTTCACCTTGCTATCTTATGGACAATGAAAGCCTTTTACAAACCATAGGCAAAATATATAAACATTTTACAAGAATATAAAAAAATTATCCTAGAAAATTTTCAGTAGCTGTAACTAGGATATATACTTCAGAATTTACGATAGAATTCTTAAAACCAGTCTTATGTTATGGTGATCATTTAGGGTGCCACCTAATAATATTTGTTTTAGTTAATGTTAGCTATGCAATAACAAGATCGTGTGGTGTGCTTTTAATTGATTTGCCGCAATAGGTTAACTATTACAGCTTATTGAATGTTTATTTCGCACATGAGAAATAATTTATTTTAATCTGTGGTTTTGTATCTGGACTGTAATAATTCAAGATTCATTCCGTGTGTACACCTTAGTGAACCATTGTCCTACTGTAGACAGCGTTGTTATGGAGACCACATCAAACCATCATATTAAACAGTTTAACGCATAGCGTCATCTTCTCGTGGGTATAACCATTGACTATACACCTCTACTAGAGGTGTATAGTCAATGGTATAACGTTCATCCTCAGGGCGAACTAGCTATCACATTTATGACATATATAGGGCCTCAGGTTACGTCAGCATACAATAAACATGTGCAGACACTTTAGTACTAATGTTACAGCTATGTTATACCTATAGTCACTATGCAGTTTTGATATAAACTCGACAGCAGGAGCTCAGGACGAGAGAGAAAGATGTTTTCTCAGCTGCTGATTGTCCGGAACTCGAGATCTTGGAACTCATTATAACCGCCGTCCTTGTCCTGTTTGGATCCAAAGTAATTTGAATAATTCCAACCTCCTACTGTAATTGTCCGCAGGCGACGGTGACAGTAAAGTCTTCAATAGTTTATCTTGGCCTTGAAGACTTGATAAACTTGAATTGTGTAACTAATTAGATTTATTTAATGTTTGACTGAAATAACATCTTATGTGTAATATCGTATTGTGTTTCAAGAATTCTACTTTAACCTTACACTTAAAAAAACTGATACAATAAAGAACATCCCTCGTATAGATGTCCTCTTTGCACACACCCCTGGATGTGTTACCAGGTACCTAACACACTCAAGGTACGTTTCCAGTGCCCGAAGGAGCTCTACCTGCAGCAGTGTTTACATACAAAACACTGCCAGCTGATATAGGACGGCTGTGGTCTCAGTAGAGCGTGATATGACGTGCGATCATCACGTCTCGGATATCGGCAGGGCCCCATCACGTATATCCAAGCAGGAAGTGTGCAAGTAAAGTGTAAGGTGAGGCAGTTTTACTCTGTCTACTCCTTATGCACGCGCGACCTACATTTTTAATGATCGCTGAGATACACACTTTACACCTCGTATTGGGACCATCTTTACTTTCCCCATTTGATTGTATTTGCAAAGATATTAGTCATGCGTTTAGGTGACATTTGTATTTCCAAATTCATAATTCAACTGGAAATTTTATATGGAAACCACATATTTACCTAAATTGTATTACAATATTACAATTAACTATGTTTGGTTTAGTACTAGAACGTACAGGTATTAGAACAGACATTAGAACTGATATTAGAACTGTAGTGATAATAAACCAAAACAAATGAAGTCACTAACCCGATTTTTATGGTAACATCTGGTTCGGGCGTTTTTTACAGTTCCTTTAAATAAAAATACCAACATATTTACTTCCGGGCCAGTTATGTCAAAATGTTTACCTAACCCGCCATGTTAAACTTCCCTATCCCAAGCGTGATGTATACAACTTCCTTACTTCTCGAGTGATGTAAAGTATCAAAAACTCACTCGGTGATGTAAAGAAACCCATTTAAATAACATTGAGTGCTTAACTTAAAAAATATAACTCTATGGAGCCAACGACGTTCAACGCTAGAAATCAGCTGTGCGCTTGAATGTTATTGTTATGCTTTAAAGTATTTTCCTACCTAACCTAGCTTTTGTTAGTAAAAGAACGTTAAGCTGGGTTTTCCTAGACGCGGAGTCGGCCAGCGGAGAGCGGACAACGGAGAGCGGAATTGAAATTAACATGGCATTCCGCTCCGCTGCTAGGAAAACAGTAACATTAAATTACCTAAGACCAGCTGAGTCCGCTCTCCACGTTCCTCTCTCCGCTGGCCGACTACGCGCCTAGGAAAACCCGGCTTTACTGATAGAAGATGAGTGAATTGGATAATGAAAAATATTGTACGTAAACCCATGTATATTGTCGGGTCAGGTAAAGTCTTGTACGTTACACGTTACGCAAGAGCGTGTTTACATCACTTAGATGAATTATGCAACTCGCTTCCGCTCGTTGCACATCATTCACCTGCGTGAAGTAAAAACGTTCTTACTACACTTGTAATGTAAATAGCTATTACGTTTATGATCCACACCATTTCTGTTATAATATCCGAGGTAGAACTAATCATGTTTTCATTAATATATTTTTAATCTTTTATTCCTATATTGTCTTATTTTTATATTGATTGTTTTTCAACTCGGGCAAGATTTTAGTTCTGAATAACAATTGATCGACCTTCTCTACAATGAATTTGACTATATCTATGTCTCCAATATTCATATTGATTAGGTAGAGCTTCAAAAGACCTAGCTTGATCGGCTTGATGACGAGGTTACAGACGCCAAATGTCATTATGTATAACTCAAGTAGTATGATACATGTAAGGTATCAGATGATGTTGCTAATAACTTTCTTACGCAATGAAACAAACTTGGAATATAGTATTAATTTATCCATGTTTCAATGTGTACGTTTTAAAGATTATTTAATGCTGATTTTCTATTAATAAATAATGTCAACTATGATTTACATCCACAGTTGATGAAATATTATTTCAAAGATAAAATACTATTTCAGCAATATTGTTAAAATCCTAATACGTGAAGGCGATTTCTACGAAACACTTCTCCTCCGATAATAATGGACGGATTTTTACAAACGATGAGTCAAAATTAAGTATTTTTTGTGTAGACACCCCCTTTTCACAAATTCCTGTAATAACAGTCTTCGGGCTTTGCCCCACAGGTCATCAAAACCCCAATGTATTTCTTGTGAAGAAAGGATTTTCTTTACTTAAACAGACGAATAATTTGTATTAATTACAGCTGTTCGTAGTAAACACACTCGATACACACAAGAGCATTCGTTTTCAGAGTGAGTTCGTTTTCAGTTTCGATAACTGAATTAGAGTGAGCGTTCGTTTTCAGAGTGAGTTCGTTTCCAGGTTCGATAACTGGAGTGTAGTGATTGATTTCATTATCTTTGAATTGACTCTTTTAAGTCATAGGGAATTGTGACTGTTATTTGTTTTGAAATATAACGCCTGTAATACTTTGCAATTGCTCGAATTCGAGCAACAGGTGCACTTGTTAAATATATTGAAGGTACAATACATACTGTGCCGTGAGGGGTGTGGCCTATATCCTTTCCTATACTGCACTAAATATGAAACTATACAAATAAATGTATTTCACTCCAAGCATTAAATATGCTTTACAATTAATTTGTTGAGCCTACAAAACATGGACGTATTGCGTATTATAGCCTGGCATGACTAAGGTTTTAACACTGCTAATGATATCAATGTAACAGCAGATACCTTTGTTCGTGTTATTTGTGTTTTACTTGGCCTATGTATGATTACAAAGTACATGACTACTGTATCAAGTGCAGGTCCAGTGAGGAACACATGACACAACTGCGCATTATTGTCGTCTGCTGTAGCTGCGTCTGTAACGAGGCAAGGTCTGCACTAACACCTGTACTCAATACGGCACCACTGTTACATTCGCACTGTTACGGTTTTAAAATATTTGTTAATACATTGTATAGTCCAAAACAACATGTTGGTCGCTAATAGCTTCTAAACAGAAAAGTTTTTAGACGCATTGAACTGTTTTTTTGTAATTAAATAACTAATTATATTTTCATAATTTTACTTTAATCAGATAATATTGTGATTAAACTTCACATATGAAATGTAAGTCGAACTGAATAAGTGCTAAATCAGGCAACTCCCTAGGTAGGTTTTGTTTAAAAGAAAGTATTTTCAAGTTTGGAACACACGCTGACCCCCTAAGAACTTAGTTTAGTTTGAGATGATTGACTATTGAAATCTGCTTTTAAATATTTTGTTAACGTGATTTAATAATATCCAAGAATGAAATGAAAACTTGGTTTTGAATCATCAGACCTCTGATACTAAAATCTTTTCTTTGTTCAATGCCAACCCTGCTCATTATAAATAATGATTAAAATGTATGAAAATAATTTGTTCATTTATCATTTATTTATCCTGTTCGTACGTTTTTTTTTTGTGACGGCTTATTGTAAATAGTGAAACCACAGTGAAGTTGGTGATCATTTTACATTGTTATTGTAAGTGTTCGTCGACGAGAAGGTGCAATAGTTAGCATATAGAGTTCTTTGTTCGGGCAACTATTCCACATTAACCGTACAATAACGACGGCACTCAAGATAAGGGTCCGGGGTTATAACTGCTAACTGCGTGCAAAGCGCAATCGATGCAACTTCTGATATGATTATAACACTCCAGCAAACATTAGGTCTTAGCCTCTATTGAACTTCCTGCAAACTTAACTCCTCATTTCTCTTACCAACAGATTAATGTTGAACTGGATATTTTATCAAGTTTGGTACGTTATACAGTAATTAAAGGTCACGAAACGCAAATGTGATGTCGAAGTGTAAATAGAAAAAAACACCCTGATTTTATATACATCACTCACAAAATAACCTAATGACTGTTATAAAGTCAGTGTAAAATAGTTTGTACATAACAATTAGATTTTCATCTCCAATTAAGGGGGAAGCGCGAGCTGGTCTAGTGGTTAGAGCGCGGGACTACGGTCCAAGAGGTCCCGGGTTCAAATCCCGGCAAATCACCAATGGATTTTGTCAAATAAAGAAGTTTTATATTGATTAACAATTTTCATCTTAGGAATAAAATGTTACCAACTGAATTATTTGTAAATACAATACAAAAACAATCTCCAGATGATCTTAAAAATAACTAAATAAATATTAAAGAACAACAAACATATGACATCTTCTCTTCCCTTTTTTTAAAGACATGTTCTTCTTGGTGGATTTATTTTTCTACCAAATGAGGAAAAACAATTAGGCTTAGTTCCAGGGTCATCAGATGTTTTGGGTTGTAGTTGTCTTAGCATTACCCCGTTGCGACGTAACATGCCTTCGTTTGTCTTAACTGTGTATGATCTTGGAGCTACTTTATTAACTATCTTCCCATCTTCTCTCATATCAGGAATATACACGTTGCATCCAATAGTGAATTGCTTTTCATCTCTCACTCCATGCCGTTTATTGAAGTAATCTGCTTGAGTTGCTCTATATAGTTCTCTAAATGTCTTGTGATCTACCATTTTAGGCTTGAGATCTTTCGTCAATGACGGTAGTCGGGTTCTTAGTCTTCTTCCCATCAACAATTCCGAAGGGCTGTACCCTGATGGACTTGGTGTTGACCTGTACTCCAGTAATGCAAGAGTGGGGTCTTTGTTCTTTGTAAGCATCTTTTTAAGCGTTTGGACTGCTCTTTCAGCTTCACCGTTTGCCTGATGGTGTAAGGGACTACAACAAATAGTTTTAAACCCAAAATCGGCTGCAAAGGCTCTCCATTCTGAGCTTGTAAACTGTGAGCCAGAATCAGAAATTACGATTTCAGGGATCCCATGTCGAGCAAAACAGGCTTTCATCTTCTTGATTAGTTCATCTACAGTCATTGTGGACACATTTATCATTTCCAAGAACCGTGAATAATAGTCCACAACAGCCAAGTCAAAGCCTTGCACAAAGTCAAAGTAATCAACTGCTATTCTTTGCCATGGATAGTCAGGAGTGTCTGATTGAATCATTTTTTCTGACTTTTGGTTTTGGTGTTTAGCACAAGTGTCACAATTTTCAATCAAGTTATGTATCTCTGTTGTAATTCCTGGCCAAAACACAGATTGTTTCGCTCGGAGGACTGTGCGTGTAGACCCGAAATGACCATCGTGCAGTTTATTAATGATATCTTTCTAAGTTCAAATGGGATAATAATTCTTTCTTTATAACATATCAAGTCTTCTATTATAGATAGGTCGTCTTTAAAGGTATACCACTTTCTCATACTCTCTGGCACATCCTTCTTATATTTAGGCCATCCATTTTCTGTGTATTTCACCAACATCTGACATTCTTCACACAGGATCTTGGCATTCTTTATTTGTTCCAATCTTGACTGTGTTGCTGGAAAGTTTAAAGATATTACCTTAATGTGTGCCTCTACCTCTTTTGTGAACTCATCTGTAGAATCTGGGATCGGCGCTCGGCTTAATATGTCTGCTGTAAACATTTCTTTTCCGGGAATGTGTTCTATGTAGTAGTCAAATTTCATCAATCGCATTTTGGATCTCTGAATCCTAGCTGGTATTGTGTCTAGGTCTTTGCTTCCAAGGAGCGAAACTAATGGTTTGTGGTCTGTTAGGATTCTAAATTTTTTTCCGACTAAAAACTTAGAAAACTTTTCTGCGGCCCATGCACATGCAAGAGCTTCCTTTTCTATCTGGGCATATCGTCTTTCACAGTCCTGTAAGGTCCTTGAAGCAAACATCACTACTTTGGGAGATATATCTTCAACCTGAAGTAGCATTGCACCCAATCCATATGCTGATGAATCGGCTATAACAATAGCTTCAGCATTTACATCATACTTAGTTAAAGATATTGATTCATTGACGGTCTGTATAATGTCTGAAAGGGCTTCTTGATGTTGACTTGTCCAACAAAATTGTCTATTCTTTCTAGTAAGCTCACGGAATGATTCAGTTTTATCAGCTAAGTTTGGAATGAACTTGTTCAGTTGATTCAACATACCATTTAATCATCGAACTCCCGCAATATCTTTAGGGGGGGAAGTTCCTCGAGTGCTCGTATACGATCAGGATCGACCTTGATACCATTACAGTCAATCAGGTTTCCAAGAAACTTCACAGATGTTTGGGAAATAGAACATTTTTCTTTGTTCAGTACAACCTTTGCTTTTTTTAAGCGATCTAATACTTGAGTGAGCCGGTAATCATGCTCCTCTTGTGTTCGGCCATGTATAAGTATGTCATCCATGTGACATAATACCCCATCGATACCATTTAAAAGTTTAAACATCTGTGTAGTGAAAAACTCTGGTGCGCTTGTAATGCCAAAGGGTAATCTCTTGAAATAAAATCTACCGAATGGAGTAATAAAAGAAGTTAGTTTAGCTGTGTCAGGTGATATTTTTATCTGCCAAAACCCTGACTGGGCATCTAGTTTTGAAAATATTTTAGAGCGCCCGATTTGCCCTAGTGTTTCTTCTACATCTGGTAGTATTATCTTTGGCCGTTTAACATTCCTATTAAGTTCAGTGTAATCAACACACAAACGTAGACTACCATTGGGCTTGAGTACTGGTACTATTGGTGCACACCAGTCAGTTGGAGACTCTACTTTTTCTATCACTCCTAAGTCCAACATTCTGTTCAATTCTGTCTCCACTTTTGAACGTAAAGGAATTGATATGTTTCTTGGAGCTCGAACCGAGTGCGGTTGAGCGTTTTCGTTCAATTCAATCTTATATTCTCCAGACCAATGAAAAGCTCAGGGTGGCTAGTTAATACAGAGTCTAAGGTAATTGAGTTAAGTCCTGCAGTATCAGGTTTTCTAAGGGTTATGAGATTTAAAGATTTAATCGCAGGAATTCCAAGTAAAGGTTCATTTAATCCTGCAACAACATACACCTTTTCTTTTACCATTTTCCCATCGTAAGCTATGTCTGCTATAAACATACCTCTTACATCTAGTTCCCTCTGATCAGCATTCCTGAGTATACGGTCAGATTTCATAAGTTTTGCATGAATAACATTTGAAGGAATGGCTGTAACTTCTGCGCCTGAATCAAGTTTCGCTTTAACTAACTGGTTATTGATAAATATTTCTACATACCAAGAACTGGAGTCATAGCATGAAGCATTCACAGGTCCTAAATATGCTACTGAAGCTTCAGTGTTGTCAGGCTTGTCCAAACGTCTTATTTCGTTGAGTCTCTTCGTGTTGTCCGTTGTTTTAGTCTCTAATAATCTGTTTCTGCAATGTTTGGCAAAGTGACCGATTTTTTGGCAGTAATGGCATGCTAAATCTTTAGCAGGGCATAAGTGCCTGGGGTGCATTGGACCTCCACAGTTCCAACAACATTCTTTCCTAGCTGTCTTTAAATCATGGGTTTTGTTAAATCTTGCACTTTGTTTTTGGTCTGATTTGATTCGGTCAACTTCTGCATGTTTTCCTTGGCATATCATTTCTAGTTCAGCTGCTTGTTTGCTGATAGACTCTTTTTGTTTGCATTTTTGAACTGCTTTTTCCAATGTAAGATTTGAATCTTCTTGTAATTGGGCCGATAAACGTTTATCAGTTATACCCACTACAATTCTATCACGTATTAGTTCTGCTTTAAGGTTCTTGAATGAACAGTGTTCGGCCATTGAGCTTTATGTCTGCCAGAAATGTATCAAATAATTCATCTGGTTGTTGTGATCTTGAATTAAACTTTGCTCGTTCGTATATGACATTTCTTTTGCCAGTAAATATGTTGTCAAAGGCTTCTGTTACCGATTCATATGAGGCTTTGTCATCTTCTGAGAGGTGTGCTTTTGATAAGATATCCTCAGAATCAGGCCCCATACAGTAAATCAAGCAGCTTACTTGTTTTACTTGAGGTTCATTGTCCAGTCCTGATGCAATTCTATACCTTTCAAATCGCTTAAACCACTTTTCCCATAATTCTGGATATTTTGAATCAAAAGGTTCAGGAGGTTGAAACATGACTGATGTAGTCCTATTTTGCTGCTGTCTTGGTTCTAGAACATTATGTGTTTCTGATGATTGATTTTATTTGTTTCCTCTGATTGATAATCTATTGTTTTTTGGCATTTAAAAAAACTAAACCGCTGCCACCATGTCAAATAAAGAAGTTTTATATTGATTAACAATTTTCATCTTAGGAATAAAATGTTACCAACTGAATTATTTGTAAATACAATACAAAAACAATCTCCAGATGATCTTAAAAATAACTAAATAAATATTAAAGAACAACAAACATATGACAGATTTTATCTAAGTGATAACGCCGCAACCGCTAGGTCTAGCCTGAAGTAGTGTGAAAAACTACTTCAGCCACTGTTCACTTTACCACTTTAGCTACTGTTACTTTAGTCACTGTTCATAGAAAAACTAAAAAAACTACGGACTTTTCCAAAGACCAAAGCTAAGATGCAAAGTCCTGAAGATAGAGGGACTGATATTTAACAACGAGATGATGAATAAAAACTTAGCTAATTGTCGTAAATGCTAAGTTTAAAAAATCAATTGTAATACTAGTTACATTAATTCTTGTTGTAACTCTACACTTGGGCTCTAACACATAAAACATTCGTATACATCTTTCAGCTCAATTTTCCCATTATATACTAAAGCAGAAGTGAAGTTAAAGGAAATATTTGTTTAAAATAGAGGCAAAGATATGGAACAACCTCCTTACGGTTATTTTTTTTTGTTTTGGTTCTTTGATATGTTTTATGTTGGCAAAAAATTTTGCGAATTATTGTTCGGGCCATGGAAATGATGAATGCGTCATGTAACCGACTTTCAAACTATAAGAGGGGATTAAACTGAGCTTTAGCTTTCGTGCAAAAGAGGGTTCACTTAAAGAACATAAAAGTAAAGAAAAATAAACCCTCTTATTGCTTATTATTGACTGTATTGTTCGACGATGTGTCATCCTAGGTAACACTAAGCTTGTACCTGGTAATCAACGCTTGTGGCAAGTGAGAAGCTCACAATCAGTTTGTCGTGTGTGCAAATGACGGGTGTTTAATGGGAAATGCTGAGTCAGTGGCGGTCGGGACAGTTATACGGGACAGGCTTATTTTACTTTAATACTTACTACAACCAACCAATAACTAAATCATGGCTATGGGTGGCATCTGTCGCAATCTGTTATTACTAGTGCAGCTAGTGACAAAACTGGCACTTTTTAAACTAGAGAAAAATGTCATCTACACTTTCCACATAATTCATGTAGAAAGAAAGTGTCGATGACATTTTTCTTTTGGGTTTTGATTTTTGGTGTCTCACTTGCCACAAGCGTTGATTACCAGGTACAAGCTTAGTGTTACCTACGACGACACATCTTGGAACAATACACTCAATAATAAGCAATTAGAGGGTTTATTTTTCTTGACTTATATTTTGTTTATAGTTGTTATTACGTGACAACTAAAAACTCTTACTTTAGTTGTAACAAAATTTAATAAAACATAAATGTTAATACAATGGTGATCAAACACACAACCGAAAAACTTTAATCTTTAAACCACATTTTTCCATATTAGGCCTCCTGTTTAAAAAACAATAGGTGAAAATAGTATTGCTCTCCTCATAAATAAATGTACCTCCATTAATAGGCCTAAGTTTCCTTTGTTCAATTGTTAATCGGAAGGAGTGAAGTTGTGGGCAAAGTGAAATGTTGCGAAATCAGCTGTTTACATTTTTAATGTCGAACAATCATAATGTCTTTTTATTGAAGTGAACCCAATGTCACTTTTTACGACAACCATAGACAACAGTCACTTTCATGGCTGGTTTAAGATACATCCAAAGGTTACATTGACTCGTAAACTAGGTTATGTAGTACACGTTAATACAACTTTATTACAAACTACCTCAGACGAAGCAAAATCCCCGTTAACTAATTCCTCTATTCTGAACTTTCATTAAAAAGGATGTTGACATTGGATACCATTATTAGTAATGCAGTCTGTCTCTTTGAACAAAACATGTA